CCGGATGGCAGTGCGGCCAAGTCCCACGTCCCGCTAGGACGCACACGCACCAGAGAGACAGAGAGCCGCGAGGAGGAGGGGCTCGAAGCTATTGCATCAGTCATCATCCACTGTTGACGTTGGTTGGTGGTGTCCATGGACCAGACCAAACAGACGAGAGACCCCAAAGTGGCACGGCACGCAACGCAGCACAAGAAAAGCAAAGTATACCGTACGTAGCCTTCCTTTGCAGCCCAAACTTCCCGACCACTTTCCTACACAGCGACACAATCTCTCCGGACAGGATACAGAGCGTCTTTGCCCCTCTTCATCCCCTTCGCGAAACAGCGACCATCCCCAAAAGACAAGGACAACACCCGCAAGCCCCCCCCCCCTAGGCGGACGGCTCGAACCGCCTCGCTGGACACCCCACTACATCCATGACCGACCGCCGAACACCGCTCTCCATCCAAGTCGCGCCTCGAGCCTAACCCCTCTAGCGAACAGGCGTCATCTCAACCGGCCGTTGCACCGACTATACGCATACACGTATACACACACGATAGCCTTCTCGACGCTCCTCCCAAAAGAAACTATACCTCTGCCCGAGAGCTCGACAAAAGGTAGCCAGAAAGAGAGAAGAAGAGCAGGGTACAAACAGCACACTGCTCGTTGTCCATCGCCAGCTGTTGCTGCCCCGTCTGATGGCGTGATCCATGGCAGAACGAACATCTTCTGCAACTCCGCGCTTCAGACCGGCAGCCGACTACAACGACGACGTTTATCTTACGACGACAGTGCCGTCGACGGCCACAAGAAAGCCAGCTCTCGGCCTCGGGTCTTCCCCCCGAGACGACTCCATATCGCCTTCACAAAGGTCAGTGTCTGCCCTTCTCATTGATTCTTTCTCCCTGTGCCTTCCGCTGCTCGAGTTCAAAATCCTTTCTTCGAGTCTCTCCCTCCCACGCCCCTTTCATGACTCTGGTGGTACTGGAGGTCATGTTGGCTGTCGGCGCTGAACCGCTAGGCGGACTGCGAAGGGCGGACTCCTCACGTCCCCGGGAGATAAGGCACATGCGTCCCCCCACCTGGCCTTCACCGAAGGCGTGCTCTGGGTCGACCAGGCACCTTGAGAGCCACCATGTTCCAGGCCGCCTTGACCAAATGGTTGTCGAATAGAGAGTAGGGGTAGCAGCAAGATGTTGTCGTCTCTTTATTATCTGACCTCCTTCCGTTCCTGTGGCGTCCCCTCGTACCGCCTGGCTGCCCTGTATCTTGGGGGGGCTCTCAGAAGGCCCGCAGCACCAGCCAGCACCAGCACCCGCACTGGGCGTGCAGCACCTCCACCAAACGCGATAGCACCTGCCCTCCACCACCCACAAGTACTTGCCTGCATCTGCACCACCTACGCACTGGGCTCGAGACTTGTCCCCCCAATCCAACCTGACGCCTTGTGCCTTGTGCCTTGTGCATAGTCGCGAGTCGAATATTATTCTTTGGATCAACCACCACCACCACCTCCTCCTCCTCCTCAGATTTTCGGGTCCTTCAAGGGTCGAAAAATGGGAACCCTCATCGGTTGACTCGTCATTCTTCCACAAGGCTTCCCACCCGTGCCTCCCATTACTTGACCCTCTCCACCCTCTTCCCTCTCTACCCACCTCTTTCCTCCACCACCAACCGCTCCGTTTGGCTGCTAGCTCGACCGGACTCGGCCATTCAGTGTGCATGCCGGCATCGTAGCATCGCGGCTCGTGGACCCTGAGAGTCTTCCACCTGCCCGCGGTCGCCCCTCTTCACGCCTGGCCCGGTTTTGATCATTCTTCTACACCTTTTGATACCCCCACTCTCACCGCTCCATTTCGTCATGCCTCCCAAACGTCAAGACGAAAGCCAACCGCTCATGCCTGCCAACAGGGTCACTAGGTCTTCTACTCGACAAGCTGCGAGCCTGGCAGCCTCAGCTTCTGCCACCACTTCTGCCCCCGGCGCCGACTCCTCTCCTGCTGCACCTGCCACGCTCCAGAATCCCACTCCCTCGACCTCGAAGCAGTCTCCGCCCAGCAAGAAGCGCAAGGCTGGGCCGCAGCCCAACAGCCCATCCCAAGCCGCCTCCTCTATAACCACTGCCACTGCGACGGCGAACCCAAAAGCAGCCTCGACGTCCCGTCGCTCCAAACGTCAAAAGACCTCCGACGACGCCTCAACTCCGTCCCAAACGACCGCCACTCAAACACCTGTCCCTCGCGCCAAGGCGAAGGGCAAGACCCCTGCCAGCATGTCTAGTCCAGAGTACGTCGCACACTTTCTGAAATACGGCTTTCTACATTTTTCATTGGCCTTTCGCTGACCGCTCACCTCCCAGTCATACCCCAGGCGCCTCCGAGCATGTTGCACCCGTGTCGGGCTCCTCTAGCAGAAAGTCTAGTCGAGGCAAGAGAGCGGGCCATCACACGAGCCAAGGTATGGCCTGACCCAGCCAACCCTGTTGTTTGCTTCTGCCTCGTCGTGGCTGCCAAAATGCTGACCATTCTTCTTCTACAGACTCCGCACCTGGCACGTCGACTTCAACCCGCCGAACGAAGAGGAACACGGCCAACAATGCCGCAGACCACGATACTGCTATGACCGGCACCGACGACGCCGACAACAAGGATGCTATCCTCCCACCTCCACCACCACCTCCCGAGCACCACCCGAGGACGACGACAGCGATGAGAACGATGAGAATGACGAGGACGATCTCGGACGCTACGACGACGAGGATGACGATCCCTTTGGCGGTTTCGGTGGCCCCGGTGGCCCTGGCGGACTGTCCAGTACCCTTAGGGCCTTGACTGGCATGATGTCTGGGCTCTCGAGCCGCCTGAGAGAACTGCTGGCCCAACTCAGGCAGAAGGAAGATCCCACGATGCAGCTCATCGCATTGCAGGAGCTCTCGGAGATTCTGCTTGTGTCCAACGAAGACAACCTTTCTGGCCATTTTTCTCCAGATTCCTTCGTCAAGGAACTCGTGACGCTGATGCAGCCTAATGAGATTACCGGGGAAGAGAACCCAGAGATCATGCTTCTTGCGTGCCGTAGCTTGGCCAATCTGATGGAAGCGCTACCCGCGAGTGTCGCCAACGTCGTGTACGGCGGTGCGGTGCCCGTGCTTTGTCAGAAGCTACTGGAGATTTCCTTCATCGACCTTGCCGAGCAGGCACTCAGCACTCTCGAGAAGATTTCCGCCGAATATCCTTCAAGCATCGTCCGAGAGGGCGGCCTAACGGCGTGTTTGTCTTACCTCGATTTCTTCGCCACAAGCACGCAACGTACAGCTGTCACCACAGCGGCGAACTGCTGTCGCAATATCCCCGAGGATTCATTCTCCGTCATCAAGGACGTCATGCCGACCCTGCTCAACGTGCTTAACAGCAGTGACCAGCGCGTCGTTGAGCAGGCGTCACTCTGTGTTTCGGGAATCGTCGAGAGCTTCAAGTACCAATCTTCAAAGCTGGAGGAACTCGTCAGTGTCGACCTCCTCAAGGTTGTTCTACGTCTACTGGTCCCCGGCACCACGAATCTGATCGGTCCATCAATCCACACCCAGTTTCTTCGGGTGCTGGCCTTCACTGCGCGTTCAAGTCCTCGTTTGTCGGCAGAGCTCTTCAAGCTGAACATTGTCGAAACGTTGTATCAAATCTTGACCGGCGTGTCACCCCCGAGTGGGACCGAGGATGTTGCCTCAAAACTTGACAGCGTTGTCATCATGCAGGCTCTCATCCATCGGCCTCGTGAACAGATTATCGAAACCCTCAACGTCATATGTGAGTTGCTTCCGAGTCTGCCTCGCAACGCGGACCCGTCTTACGGAGACTTTGTTGAAATGTCTGCTACGGAGCCGGCACCCCCATCTTCCAGCACACCAGGCAAGACTCGCAAGACGCCCAACGACAAGAGAATTGAGCTGTTGGGCGAGTGCCAGGAACAGGTCAGGAGATTTGCCCTGATTCTCTTCCCCACCCTAACCGACGCCTACTCAAGCACTGTCAACCTGAGTGTGCGGCAGAAGGTGCTTACCGCCCAACTGAAGATGCTCTCCAACCTCGACGAGAAAATTCTTGGAGAGTCGCTGAGAACTGTGCCTTATGCCTCATTCCTTGCCTCAATTCTCTCTCAGCAGGACCACCCGTCTCTGGTGATGCTTGGCCTCCAGGCTACTGAGCTTCTTCTTAACCGTCTTGATGATGTTTACCGTTATCAGATGTACCGCGAGGGAGTCATCTCTGAAATCGCCAAGCTCGCGGCTCAGGAGATTCCTCAGCCCGAGGCTCGTTCAGAATCGGCTACGCGTACCCCGGAACCCGCTGAACCTGAAATTGAGAACGACGCTGAAGGTCGTGCTTCGGACAATGATGGATCTGACGAGGAGAAGGATGACGCAGAGGAAGACGACCAAGACGGCTCGGAAAATGACGAAGACGATGAAGACGAGGACGACGAGGATAATGAGAACAACCGACACCAAGACGATGGTTCTGGCTCGCCTGTTAGCTCCAGGGGATCTACCATGTCCCTGGACGGCGCTCCACCAACTTACCTCGGGGACGGCCAATCGATGCGAACTCGCATCCGAGACGTGGCCAAGAAGTTCATCGAGACCCATGACACGGAGAAGCAAGGCAAGACAATGAAAAAGAAGGCGATCAAGGTCTTGGCCAACCTCTCCAGTCTTGCTGAAGAGATTGAGGCTTTCTACCTCCACAGAACCTCCGGCGTCGCGCCTCTCGATAAGGGCACCGAACTGTTTGAGAGGCTGGTTTCCTACTTTGACGCGGAGGTTCTTGAAAGCGTCACAAGCGCCGAGCTACTTGCCTCCGGCCTGGTGCGCGTGCTTCTGGCCGTCTTCAGCAATCCCAACGAGGAGCTTGCCCGCGCAGCTCAATCGACTTTCCTTCGCGTCTTCATGGGCTTCACGGTTAAGGCCAAACTCAAGACGGCAACGGCGGATTCGCCTGCAACGCCTTTCAGCGTCATGATCCACAAGCTACAAGATTTGCTCAGTAGGTCTGAGCATTTCGAGGTCATTACTGTCCACCACAACACCTTCGACCATCGCAGCAGTGCAGCGTCCATGCTCGCCAAGCAGATCAGACTCAGGCTGGTCGCTGACGATGACTCGGAGATTCCACGTCCCTACCGAAACATTATGGTGTCTATACACGCGATCGCGACATTCAAATCACTCGATGATTACTTGCGCCCTCGACTCAGTCTATCGGAGCGTGGACCCCGTGCATCACGCCGAGCCGACGGCCTCTCCCGAGCTCTTGCTGCCATGGCAGGCGCTGGAGCTCTTCCTGGTGGTCTCTCGCCATTCACACAGGCCGCTGCCGCTCGATTTGCAGCTGAGCGTGCTGCGGCAGCCTCGAGCTCCGGTCCCCCACCTCCTGCTCCCGGAGCCTCGACGCCTTCGGCGACACCGTCGAGCTCGCGGGCCTCGCGCAAGACCAGATCAAAGACTTTGCCGCAGTCTGACGCTCCCTCAACTCCTGATCCGACTGCCGCCGCCCGGGACAAGGGCGTGCTGAGACGATCTGCGCGTCGCTCTGGCGCAAATGAAACGCCGCAGCCCACCAAGCCCACAGACGACGATGACGATCTGCAGGACGCTCTCGAATGCGCCGACGAGAAGCAACTGACCGACGATGACGACATTGGTGGCAGCAGTGCTCTGGATGCTATTGTCGGCGAGCTGGAAGATGACATGGACGATTCTCCAATGGACGACCCCGGCGCTGTCAACCTCGAAGTGGCTGCAGGAGGCAAGGTGACGGCTCGCGAAGAGGATGGCACTCGCATTCCCACGCCCGCTCAAACAAGCTCAGGTCTCCCAACTCGTGCCAGCGGTCAGTCAGCCCTTGCCTCGCAGCAGAGCACAACTCCATCGGCGGCATCCCGCCTCATGTCGTATGCTGCAGCAATCCAGTCAGTGCCTCAAGACTGGCACATCGAGTTTAGCCTCGACGGCAAGGCGCTTCCCAGCGAGACAACGATTTACCGCGCGGTCCACATGTCAGCTTCCAACTCGGACGAGCATCTCAGCCGCAGCATCTGGTCTGCGGTGCATCCCATCAAGTTCCGCCGCGCCCCCGGACCTCCACCGCCTGAAAGTGGTAGCACCTCTCGGCGGCAGACTCGAGCCCAGCGCTGACGAGAGCACGGACGGCATCCCTAGTTCTCTTGCCAAGCACCCGGCAACAGCGTCCATTTTGCGCCTGTTCAACCTCCTCCACGACTTGAATTCTAACGTGGATGATGTCTTGGTGGAGAACAAGGACACCGTCCGCCTCAACGTCGAGCCCCTGTCACAGTTCGTGAACACCAAACTCACCGCCAAGCTCAACCGTCAACTTGAGGAGCCGCTGGTTGTTGCAAGTAACTGCCTGCCAAGCTGGGCCGAAGACCTGGCCACCCTGTACCCTTTCCTTTTCCCATTTGAGACGCGGCACCTGTTCTTACAGTCCACGTCATTCGGTTACGCACGTTCTATGACGCGCTGGCAGAATGCACAGTCCGTTGAGGAGTCGCGGCGGGACCGTAACGAGCGCCCGTTCCTTGGCCGTCTGCAACGCCAGAAGGTGCGTATCTCGCGATCCAAGATCTTGGAGTCTGCCTTGAAGGTCATGGAGCTCTACGGTGCTTCTCAGAGCATTCTCGAAGTGGAATATTTTGAAGAGGTCGGCACAGGTCTCGGACCGACACTGGAGTTCTATTCGACGGTGTCCAAAGAGTTCTCAAAGAAGAAACTTAAGCTTTGGCGAGAGATGGACTCGCACGACGATGAGTATGTTTCTGGTGTCAGCGGTCTCTTCCCTCGCCCTCTGAGTGCCGACGAAGCTGCTTCTGCCAATGGCGAGCGGATCTGCCAGCTTTTCAAGACTCTCGGCAAATTCGTCGCCCGATCCATGATTGACTCTCGCATCATCGATCTCAACTTCAACCCCACCTTCTTCCGAATTACTGATGGAGCTTCGATTTCTGGCATCAAGCCCTCGCTAGGAGCTGTCAAGGTTGTCGATCCTGGCCTGGCGAGATCTCTGAAAACCATCAAGAAATTCTCTATCGCTAAGAAGGAGATCGATGAGGACCCTACGCGCACGCCGGCACAGAAGGTTGCCGACACTGAAGCTATCGTGATTGACGACGTGAGACTGGAGGACCTCTGCCTCGACTTTACATTACCCGGTTACCCCGAGATTGAGCTGGTCGCGAACGGATCTCATGTTAGAGTCACCATGGACAACGTTGACTCGTACCTCGATCGAGTTATCGACATGACACTGGGCAGCGGAGTCCGCCGCCAAGTCGATGCCTTCCGTGCTGGCTTCTCTCAAGTCTTCCCCTATTCGGCTCTGAGTGCATTCACTCCGGATGAGCTGGTCTCGCTGTTTGGCCGTGTCGACGAGGACTGGTCCCTTGAAAGTAAGTTCAATACTCCGTATGGTCGAAGACACTTCTAATCAGCTGCAGCACTCATGGATTCGATCAAGGCTGATCACGGCTACAACATGACAGCAAGAGTGTTCGCAATCTGCTGCAGGCCATGAGCGAGCTGACCCCCAACGAGCGTCGCGACTTCTTGCAATTTACCACGGGCAGCCCCAAGCTTCCGATTGGAGGTGAGCTGCCCTGTCCCATCTTTGTTTTGTTGCTCCCAATACTAATGCGTTTGTGTGCAGGTTTCAAGAGCTTGACGCCTATGTTCACTGTCGTCTGCAAACCGAGTGAGGCACCGTTCACGTCTGATGACTACCTTCCCAGTGTCATGACTTGCGTAAACTACCTCAAGCTCCCCGATTACACAGATCTCGATATCATGCGCAAGCAGCTGACGATGGCTATCCGGGAGGGACAGGGCGCCTTCCACCTGTCTTGAGAGGCAGCATATGTGCTTGCCAAAGGAAGGAAAATTATAACGGATCACGCATCAACGAACTCTTCTCTCTGCCCGGTTGGGTTCTGGGAGATTCGCGGGATGATGTCTGCGAATGAATTGGTGGAGTAGGGCAACATGAACAAAGGATATCATTTGGGGCAAAGGGCGCGGAGGGATCCCACGAGAAACAGTCCCCTCATATCATTAGTCATGACTTGCATGGAATGGTCGTTCAGGCGTCAAGAGGCTCTTCTTCTATTTCTTGCGCCTGCTTTTCTCGGCCCAGGCTCAGCATTATGCCAGCCACAGAACAGGCTATTAGGGATTAACGTCTGTGGATTGAGTAGTTGTAGAATGGTACAATTAGTATGTACTTTGCTCAGAATGTACTTCGCTCAGACTTGTGAAAACGGATGGTTTGTCATCCTTGACATGCTCATACCAAAGGGTTTAGGGATCCGTGCTGCCAGGTGCCGATATGATCCAGGAGCAGATGCATGAATATGGATTGCTGATTACTCGGGGATGACTATGTGAGCCAAAACGGCTATCGTCCGCCCTTCGTACTTTTGATGGTATGTCAAGTTACCAAGCGGCTGCTTTGGACTGGTACATATGTTGATTCTAGTGGCCGTTATCCTGCCAACAGACAAAGATACAGAAAGGCTTGTATTTACATCTATCTAGGATATAGGGATGGCCGCACAATGTTAATCCGACTCCTCGATCAACGCCTGCCTGATTCCATCCGCAAGTGCTTTGTGCACCCTCGTGCCGCTGCGAGAGGACTAGTCAGTAACGGCAAAAGCAAGGAAGGCAGAGGGGGGGAAATCCCCAGGAAGATGACTTTATGTCAACAAACTCACATGTGTCCACTGTCGAACCAAAAGTACTCGTGAATGGGCCCGCAGCCGAACTGGGCCGGGTCCTCGACAATCTGCGGCCACTGGCGGCGGGCGTCGCAAAAGTCGGTCGTGTTGGTGATGCCGTAGGGCGCCGGGTTGTCGAAGACGTCGTTGAGAAAGTCGTAGGCGTCAAAGATGATGGTCTTGGCGTCGGCGTGGGCGGCCGCCCAGGCGGCCGTCTGGGTGCGCAGCTCGTCGTACCACCAGCCGATCATGGTGGCGTTGGGCAGCGGACCGGCGCCGATGCCGGCCTCGAACTGCGCCTGCTTCTTCTGGTTGCCCGGGTTGCGGTCGAGGGGCGGCAGGCCGACGAAGAGGTAGTTGTGGTAGCCGCGGTCGTAGAGGCTCTGGACCGACTCCTCGAGCAGGGCCTTGATGTGGTCGTGGTACATCTGGCGCGAGGTCAGGTTGAGGAGGTAGAGGTCGTTGATGTCGTTGATGCCGATCCAGATGGCGACGAGCGACTTGGAGCGGTCGAGGCACGTCTTCTTGCGGAGGACGGGGTCGGCCCAGGTGAGGTACTGCTGGGTCTGGTTCACGAGGGGGACCGTGAAGTTGTGGTGCAAGGGCAAGCTGGCAGGGTCACAGTCAGGCGCGTGTTCAGAGACTGGTCACAGTTGCGTGTCACAAAACACGGCGTTTCGGGGAGGGTTCACTTACAGCGATTCAGCCGTGTTGGCACCAGCAAAGGCGAAATCCCACAGCTGGACTTTGCAGTCGAGGGGAGAATATGAACCATCCTCGACGGCGCAGTCTGTCAGGTGCTCGATCCAGTTTGGTCCTCCGGCAGATGTGCCGGTGTAGTTCTGCCAAATTTTGTTCTCGAGGAGCTCCTTCGGGGTGAAGGAGAAGTTTCCTGGAAGGTAATCCCCGATGAAGCTGTAAGCCGTGCGGCCATGTGTTCCGAGGACAAATGTGTACGAGTCGCCGAACGCGATGCTGGCTTGTGTGTAAGCTTGGGACGTGAACCTCAGCACAACAAAAGTATGCTCAAAACTGCACTCGGTGTTCGCGGTACTTACACAGACTTGGTGTCATGCCAATTGAACTTGCCGGCCGCCGAAACGACAGGCAACAGGCCGCAGACGGCGAGTGTCTTCCAGGAGAGCGACATGTTTCGACTGACCCAATCTTCACGAGAAAGACAATTCCTGGCACATCACACAACTCTCTCACTCTCTTTTCTCCCGCGTGCTCCTCCCTAGCCGCTGGCCCGCGGCACTCTTATAACCCGCAGACCATTCGTCGATGAGGGATCGCATAACCGGCACATCTAAGAGCGAGGCCCCCATGTCGACCATTGGTGGGTTATCACGACTTGGCGCTAGAGTACCCAAAAACGCGGAGATCGCCCTCGTTTTTCTTCAACGGTCGCTAGGCCTTCCCCGCATGGTAATCTGCCAGACCCCGGGTCTGCGCACAGAAAAGAGTTAGCCTCGCCTCGCTTGCCGGGCGTCCGGGGGGCAGCGGTTCGACGACTGGAGTTGAGGCGGGGAGGAGGGGAGGAGGGTTTCCTTGACCAGCAGCCACAGAGAATGCTGTAGTACCTGGGAACTCGTGAGCGGGAGCGACTTGGGAAAGATCGGGGGCTGGGAAGTTCTGACAACTTGGGAGGGGGCGTCATCGGCATTTCCCCACGTTGTCGGTTACTCGGCCGAGCCTCAGTGATAATGTCAAGATCGGTGGCGACAAGAACTCTTTCTTGAGAGATGTTTCCCACCTAGTTCGTTCCCTTCAGCCGAACGGTTGTCACGGCCTGAAAAGATGCGTGTTCGGGGCCGAGCTCAGGGGGCAACGGCTATCATAATGCTTCTAGTCTCGTCAATGCCGCAAGTGGCGCAGAAAACGAGATACTCGCAAAGCTCAGAAGTGGACGGGATTGAGGGTCGCAGGGCAGTAATTTTTTCCGTGGCATCTCTATCCGTGGAGTAACAGGCTTCTACACGCTCTGGCATGGTTACAACCAGAACACACACTGGACACTCCCCAAAAACCGGTCTCTCTACAATTCACTCCAACGCACTCTACGGACCTATTGCCTTTAGACGTCAAGCAGCTCCCCGATGAATATACTCTACGCATACGATATTCACAAAATCCCAGAATTAAAACAAGGCTTTAACTGCCACCCACGCACGCTGCATGCTCTAGATAATCTGTAGAAAACAGCGCTGTTGAATACCGTAAAGCTACCTCTATCACGCTTGTGCCGAGAACACCGGCTACGAAATCAAGCAAATCCAAATCCCTTCGAATTCTCCAGCGCCATGGCCAGCCTCTGCCGCAGCACGTCCTTACTCTCATACTCTGGCAGCAACAGGGTGCCATAGCACGTGTACGCCGTGGGCAAGTGTCCGCCCTCTCCTTCCTCCTCGCCGTTCTTCTGCACCACGAACTGCAGGTTCCGCATCCCGCCGACGGGCACCCTGTCAGAGGCCGTGACGAACTCGAGCAGCCGCCTCTTCATAGTGTCGTCATACCGTTTGACGATCGACCAGAAGTCGTGCACAGCGCGGTGGCTCGCGTCCCAGCCGACGTAGCGCGTGTAGCGACGCAGCTCGGCAATATCGATGTCTTGGACGCCCTCAACAACAGATTGGAGGAGCGGCGGCGTAAGCAGGCCGAGAGACTTGGGATGGAGGCAGGCGCGGAAGCCGCGCAGGGAAAGCCTCAAACTGCGGGCGGACGGAAACATCAGTGAGATAGCGAATGTAGTCGCTGACGTAGGCGTTTGCTTCTCGTTAGTGACGAGAGGTGCGTCCGAGGGTTCTGCGCAGACGGCGACTCGGACTTAGCTTCAGCTGCGCCAGCTCGGGTCTCCCGACTTCATCTCGCGAGAGATGGCTGTCGACATGAACCCGAGACTCGTACGTGCGGCGAACACATCCTCAACAGCCCCGTCCTTCTCGTCCCACTCTGCAGAGTAGTCAGTCCGCTCGCAAGATCGGGCCATCCGTCGGCAATATGATGCAGCTCGTCGACGGGCTCGCCGAGTAGTTTGCGATACATGGCTTTTGGGAATGTAATGGGCAGCGTCAGACCGTTGTAGACCGCAAGAGACACGAGTATCCCCAGGAGTTCAAACTTCCACACTGGGACGATAGAGCCTGGCACGAACCATGCCATTCTCGTGCGCTCGTCCACTGTGAATGCGCCAAAATCAGGATCCAGGCACTCAGCAATGGCGAGTCTGAAGAATTCTTGCTGAACACCGCCCGAATCAAAGCCTTCTTCGCCACCCTCCTCGCCGAGGTGGACTTTGAGAGGCCGCATCAACTCTCGTGCTTCGCGACGCCACAGCTGATCAAATGCATCCCGCACCACACCGTCGCGGCTGATGTCGAGCACGAGGAACTTCCCAGACGCTGTTTGGAGGAGATCCTGCAGGACCACGCGATGGTGAGGGTCAGTGATGAGACCACCAGGCGCAACGATTGCCTTCATCCTAGTTTGCAACGAGCTGGACTCTTCGTAGCTACGACTCATCCGAAGGAAGTTGATGGAGCGGAAGTAGGAGACAAGGGTGGATGGGTTGAAGATGAATGGGAAATCCAGCATGTGCTTCTTATGCTGAGTCGTTTTATGCGAAAGCCACTCGACCGGCATGTTGATTGAATCTAGTCGATCCGCAAAATAGTCGACACGGAACTGCGCGTCACCTAGAAGCAGGGAGTGCCGTTTTTCGTCTAAAGTCATGATTAGTATGAGTTCGACTTCTGAGGGCTTGCATGGGACTTACACATGGCTGCAATAAGAGCCACCGCTCCCCCGAAGGAGCTGTTGCACGAAATCTCAGGCTCCCCGTTCCATTCTCTCAGCATCACCGTCTTCGCCCAGTCAAGGAGCAGCGTAGACGCCCTGGCCTCGTGAACAGCTCGCTCGGCCGCCGTGAATTCTAGGCTTGGCGTCGTGTTGATGCTGAGTAGGTCGAGCTGGGCTAGAAGAGGCTGAAGAGCATTCTTGTCGGTCCGAACAGAGGCCACGCCTTCTTTGTTACCAGTCATCTCCGTTGCGTATTGACGGGCTGAGATGGCGGAGAAGAGACGCTTAGCAAGGCGCAAGACTAGATCGTCGGAGAAGGCGTCTTCGTACTGGAGGCACAGCCAAGCGGGCTGTTTCGCGATGGCACCACTGCCGGCAAGAGTCAAGCCATTCGACCTGATCCTGGACATTTCTTGTAGAGTCCGCGTGTCGTGGACAAGTGGCGCTGCAGCAACCAAGGCGTGTAGACAGATAGCCATCAGCTGGCCTGCTTGGGCGTTGTTGACTGAAGGCCCAGGTACATCAGACCTTCGTGAAGAGCGAGACAGCTGGTGAATTCTTGATGTGCCGAAGAGGCTGGCTGAAGCTATCCACAGACTGTCGAACACCAGACTGGGCGCCACTCTGGTCAGTCGCAGCATGCAATACCAGAGTGAATGAGAGTCGAGAAGCTCGCCATCTCTCACGAAGGATGCGATAAGCTTCTCAGGGTCACTCAGGATATTGAACAGACTTTGTTCAATGAATTGCTTCCACTGCTTTTTCAAGTGTTTGGGGTAGGTCTTGTAGCTTCCCTTCAGTCTTCGAGGAATTTGAACCTGATCTGCGACCTCTAAGCTTGACCGCGTTACCGTCGCTGGCTCCAAAAGATGCGACTCGGCAGTTCCGTCATCTTGAAGAATGTCGCTGATAAGATCTACAAGGTCGATGTTGAGTGTTGTCAAGGATTGTGGCAGTATGCCTTCTGGTATGGCGAATTCCCCCGAGTCTGCCGCGTTGTGCTTGAGGGGCGAAATATCGGGCTTATCCTCCGTTTGGGACGGAAGGACTATGCTACTTCGTTTTACAGGCTTATTTTCGGCGACCATCTCGACGCCGCAGACCTCTGATCTTGTCATTGATTTTGGTTCTTCAGTCAAGGTAACATCATTCTGTCGTGGCGGGACATTGTCAAAGAAAGAAGGAGTTGCAGGGATGTCAGGGATAGCCCGTGTCTTGGCCGCCGCAGCTTTCGGAGGTCGTTGAACCTTGTCTATGACACTGCCGTTCAAGCGCGGTGATGTGATACCGGGCGCAGAGCCTTCCACGAATGCAGGCGAGGGTTCGATTGGGATTGTCCTCTTTGGGTTCGCACTGGAGGTCGCGCGCACCCTGGCGCTCGATTTCCGCCGCGGCTTATCCACGTTCACTGCGGGTGTTGGAGCTGTCGGATTCGGCTTTTCGGGAATGCTAGGTTCTGTCGCGACTTCCAGCTCAGCCTCAATCGGCTCGAGATTGGCCTTCGGTTGTTCTGTTTGTGTATCGCTCGATGATGACAACGGTAGTTCATCCATGGATATCGGCGTTGTTTGTGGTGCTGGATCTTTGGCGTCATCCGAGTCCTCGGCCTTATCGTCTGTGTCGATGCCGTCCATCTTTTGCGCCATCGCAGCCAAACCGCTCGGGGTAAGCCACTCCAACATCTTGAATGCGACGGTGCCAAAAACGTTGGCAGCGAAGGATCGGTGATCCTTGCTGATAGGCCGCTCAATGACTCTGACGTCAGGCTCCTGAAGCTCCCCAGTCTCCGAGTCGAAGCGTGACCTTCGACCGCTCGCGCTCCTCCTGTGGCTTTGGCCTCTTGAGTTGTTCTCCAGCTGACATCCATCCGAGTTTTCAGCCCGTTCAGCAGGAGGAGATCTCACAGCACCTGGCCTTCGCGAATCCGAGTTCTTTCGAGTGATGTTACTTTGCCTCGGCGCGAAGGGGTCGCTGAAGGACTGCGAAGACTGCCTTGGAGCAAATATGAGAGAGTTCAGAGCTCCTGCCGGCTCCTTTGATGGCTTCAGATATGGGCAGAGACCGTTTTCCGGATTATCCTGGCTGGCGAGGCAGACGGCCAACGTCCTTGCGCTGGTTGTGTTGTAACGTCGCAGAGGGGCCTTGCCGGCGATTCGGCGGCGGCACGTGAAGCAAGTCGCGGTGACGCAGGATTCCGAGTCGCAGCCATATCGTAATTGGGCGACGTATCGCTCGACCAGCAGTTGGAAGTTGTGTCGTCGGCTGGCGCGGTATACGGCGTAGACTCGCCTCGGGTTCTCAATGTCGGCTACGAGCTGCCTCAGCTCGGCTGGGCGCATCAACAGGCAGGCGCGCAAAGGGCGGCGCCTCCTCCCACAACGAGGCAAAGATGTCGTCGCCATCTTCTTGTGGTGCACGGTCGAGTCGCGTCATGTCTGTCTCGGGTATGGTGTGTTTCCGGCAGTAGGGGTGCTCCGGAGTCACCGAGCTCTCGGTGAGGTCGTCCTCGCTCGAGATGTCGTAGCTTCAGCCTCTGGGTCTCTCGCAAGGCAGGGCTTGGGGCGAATGCGGCGGTGGCGGTTTGATTGATGCGATGGATGGGGATAGAAAGCAAATCGTCAGGGGAAGAATAAGGGTATCACATGCGTCGGGTACGAGTACAGATGGGACAAAGAAGACGAAGGATGGATAGCATTTGATGGAGTCGAAGATCAGAAGTTGGCGGAGAGGCGCCCATGGATGCACCAGACCAGACGGGGTGGCCACCCTGTATCGGCGCGCGGCGTGTATCAGCCCCGGTGGAGGGTCGTGCGCTGTCTGCCAGGTCGAGTGCGTTCCCTTACACTGGCCGCTGCCGCGCCTGGCGTTTAGTGCATGGGCCAATGAAACCCCACTTTGACTGGGGTTTTAGCTTGTGAGGCTCTGGGCAGTGGCCTGGCAGTGGCACTAGATGCTGCTGACCAAGCTTCGGCATGGCCGGCCTTGCATTTACTGTTTTCATCATCTGGTCCTGTTTACCTGCACGGCCTAGCCATCTATGGAGCAAGGTACGTCCTGTGGTAGACTGTATGATTTGTGACATTCCGCCACGGACTAGATGCTGTGAATGCATCATGAATGAAGACAAGTGATGTAAGGCGTGACACAGGCTGTACCCCGAGGCGGGCCTCTTCAGGCTGGAAGGGCGAGAAGGACCCCACAGACCCTGAAGCCCGGCCTGGAATGAGTCAAAGAGGTCACAAATAAATTCCCCAAAATCACTTGAAATTACCAGCACTGGCTACTAAGGTGTCGAAAGTCCAGTCATCTTGGGGCCACTCGGACAAATCAAGGGCATCATGGTTGGAACGGTGCGTCTTGGCTGGGAGAGACCCGGGCTCGAGAAGGGTCGACTGTCGCCAGGAGAGATGGGGAAAACAGTCAACAGGCAGTCAATAAGTCATCACTGAGTCCGAGGTGTAAGTGGCCACCTAAAAGTGACGTATTCTCTTACCTGATCCGTGCACAGTCGCCATTCTTTGCCATGTCGCCCAAGGCTATTGCCAAAGCCCCTCCATCCTTGATGCGATAAGGACTATCGACCCCGCCAGCCCACTAAAACTCTGCCCGCAAGCCCTTTAAATCGCAACTTCCCCTCTATATTTGCGACCGCTCCCACCTCACAGGCACGAGAAAGAAGAACCATCTTTGCGATCGCCCGTGTTCCTTTCCGGCGCTCGACTTTCGACTGAACCGCCTCGACACCACTAGGCTTGCCTCGTCCCGGAAGCACTTCTCTCCAACACCATCCACCACAACAAACCTCGCATCAAAGAACGCTATCACGATGGTGGCCGCTGACGATGTGGCGACTCTGGCGTCCTCTCCTCCAGCGGGAGAGTCGGCCTCTCACCCTTTCACCTGCAACACATGCACCATTGCCTACAGGAATATTGACCTGCAGCGAGGCCATATGAAGAGCGACTGGCAGTAAGTTGTCCACCTTGCACCCATCGTTCGCTGTTGCCTGCCCCAGCAGAGTGCTGACCAAAGCGCCCGCCTTCCAGCCGCTACAACCTCAAGCGCCGTGTCGCCTCCCTGCCTCCCATCACTTCCGAGACTTTCAACGAAAAGGTTCTCCAGGCTCGCGCCGTTCAGACTGCCGAAGCCGAGAAGGCTCTCTTTGAGCGCTCTTGCGAAGCCTGCCAGAAGAACTACTCGAGCGAGAACGCCTACCAGAACCATCTGACCAGCTCCAAGCACAAGCTGCGTCTGGCCGCTCTCGGCCGTCGTGGCAGCAGAGCCGACGATGCCAGCTCCGTCATGAGCTCCACCTTTTCGCTGGGCGACCCCCATCGCCGCCGACAAGGAGTCTGTTGATTCCGATGCTGAGGAGGAATTCACACAGGTTGTCGAGGGCCTGCGGAACGCCAAGCTGGACCACAAGCAGGACGAGAACCGCCCCTCGCCCGTCAAGCGTCCCTCCAACCCCCAGCCGTCCGCTCAGGGACACCGCAGTGAAGACCACCCCGTCTCCGACGAGGCCGGTGAGGGTGAGACCGAGTCTTCCACACCCGTTCCCAAGTCGGAGATCAGCTGGACCCTCAAGTCCTGCATCTTCTGCAACTATGACTCGCCCACCGTCCCTCTCAACGCCCACCATATGGAGCGTTTCCACAACATGTTCATTCCCGAGAAGCAGTATCTTGTCGACCTCGAGGGTTTGCTGCAGCACCTACTCGAGCGTGTCCACGAGGGCCATCAGTGCCTGTACTGCTTCAAGACCAAGAACACCGCGTTCGCTGTCCAAACCCACATGCGTGACAAGGGCCACTGCAAGGTGCCCTTTGACACCGAAGAGACCCAGCTCGATATTGGTGACTTTTATGACTTCAGGAGCACGTACTCTGACGACGAGGAGTCTGATGAGGATGAGGAGGAGGAAGTCCAGAAGGGCGGCGCCAAGCTCGGAGCGAGACGTGAGGCCAAGCACAAGGACGAGGATGGCAAGGAGGTTGGCGAAGGTGACGGATGGGAGACAGACAGCTCTGCTTCGTCCCTCGACTCTGAAGACCTTACCGCCATGCCTGCCGAGCGGCACGATCACCAGTACGAGCGTCTCGACAAGCACCCGCACCATTCGAATGCTACGTCCCGCGCCCACCGTCAAGCCGATGGCTGGCACTCGCACGCGCACAAGCACAACCACGCCGTCTTTTACGACGACTACGAGATGCACCTCCCCAACGGCAAGTCGGTCGGCCACCGCTCCATGGCCCGCTACTACAAGCAGAATCTCACAAACTACCCCACCCCCGAGGAGCGCGCCGAGCGCCTCGCTCTCGAGGAGGCTGCCTCGAGCGACGACACGGAGACGGAGGGCAACAGCGACCGCAGGCTCGCCCCCACCCGCAACGGCCGCGCTCTCGCGCGCCGCGATGCCGCCGGCATGGTCGGTCTCTCGGGCGAGAAGAAGCGCGCCATCCGCGACTCGGAAGAGCGCGGTCGCAAGTCTGGCGAGCTACGCGAGAAGCGCAACGACTACAAGTACGGTGTCAAGAACAACAACCAAAAGACCTACTACTACCGCTACCAGATGGGTGGTTGATCTCGCTCCTGTTCGTTTTCGCTTTCTTTCTTTTCTTTTTCCCTTGCTTTGCGCTTTCGGGTTGGAGTTTTTTGGCAGCACAGGAGGGATGGGGGAG